AATCTGCAAAGACATTTCATGTTAGTACAGATCAGAAATCATTCGAGAGTCAGAGTGTTATTAAGACTGAGAAGATATGTTGCCTAAAAAAATGCCAAGAGTGATTCTCAGATGTGGATACGGCACTTATAGTTTTCTCTTGCTTATTTCTTCATCACAGTAGTTTGAGGTTAAAGAACAGCCAGAAAAGGACAGACTTTTGACTCTGATTGGCATCACTGCAGCTTGATTGGGTGTTTTTAAGCCATTCCTAACATGTAAGAGCTGTTTCAAACTGAAGGTGTTAGACATCTTCATCAGAGGCATCATAAAGGGACTCTTTAGAAGTTCAAAAATCAAGTTACAAGTAGTTTTGGGCACTACACCTACTCCTCGGTCTCTTTGCCAGTGTGTGTGGTTTTCCAATCACATTTTCCTATTTTTAAAAGATATTTTCTCTCTCATCATACTGTGTATAAGAGCCACTCAGACAGCACGGGAAACTAACTGATTCTCTAGGGGAAAATCTCTAGTAAACCCTGATTAACTGACTGAGTGCAGATAAAATAAACGGGGGGGGGGGGGGAAATAGACTTCCTTCTCTTCCCTCTTTCACCTCTAGCCATCTTGGATGTTATTCCTACCACCCATAAGCAAAATATTTTCAGATAGAAATGTGATTTAAATCGACGATGTTCCTTTAAAAACAACAACACTCAAAAGGCAACATATTCATTTTCAGCAACAGCTACCGCAGAATTCCACCTTCCTTTTCTTCACTGTCTGGTCAGCCATGAAGCAGGAACTAGCCATGGACGATAAATACATAACACCTGCAAGGTGTCTTTCGAGCTGCAATAGAAATACATGTGTGGAGTGGGATAGAGGGGCAGACCCAGTCATTTCAACTACCGTTAGGGATACTGGGAAATCTAACGTTCTGAAAAAGGCAGGCGTTAACTAGATTTATAGGAAACCAAAGAACAATATATTGTTAAGTGACTCCCGTGTGGCAGAGGGGTGGCCTGAGATGTCTTATCCTTCTCCAACTTGCATGATGCTGTGATGACGGCTTGAAACTGACTGTACTTAACTTCAGTCATTGCCTTTTTCTCGCCCCCCACAAAGGGTACGGTCTGCCAGTTGTGTGCACTGACTGCAGCGGAAGTACAGAGAGCATGAATGTCAACATTTACCCCCAGGATCCCGAATACTATTCTCAGCCAACTAAGACTATGGCTAATGCACATCAAAATGCATTCAGCAGAAAAGAGCCAAGTAGGAGCAAGAGCAGAGGTAGCAACCCTCAACCGTGCGTTGGGATTACCAGCAGTCAGAGAATGGACACCGATAGTACTCTGTATCCCAGCAACCATGACAGAATGCCACCGTCGTCCTGCATGACTCAACCACTGCATGTGGACAGACAAGGTACGCGTTTTGCTTGGGTCTCTTTCCCTATACCATTCAGATTAATGTCCTGGTTCCTCTCATTGCCATGCCTTGCTTTTAGAAAGCTTTAGTAATCTTCAGTATTAAACGTCGGCTATTTGGTGGTTGGTTTTGAATGATTATGTGCGTTGCGGTAATGGTGGCATTCTGAGCATCAGCTAATCGAGCATTGTACTATCCTTACTTTCTTACAGGCTCTTCACAACCTTTGGCAAATGCTTCAGAGCATAGTAAGCGTCACTTAAAAGCTTCACCTTCAGAAGACTCAGTGAAGCAGCTAAAAGGGACTCCTGAAATTTCACCAACATCACTGGATATACAGGGTGAGGCTGAAGCTAAACAAACTCTTCTTTCCAATGGATACCTACCCAAATTACAGGACTCCACTCATGAGTTTAAGCCACCCATAAGATCAATGGACTGAGAGGGGAGAAACTGCCATGTGCAAATGAACAAACCTACTATTGACCTTAATTTTTTGCACAGAATACCTAGGCTACTTACTTCTACCTCAAGTCTTGAACTGACCGCCTCTCCAAGGAAAAGGAAAACAAATGAGGTATGAGAAACAAGCTTGTGTGGGGAACAGACTCCTACTTGAGCGTCACCTGTTTGTACATAGTTTAAAACTTCAATGAGAAGTATTACTAGTTCAAAAGTTAACTTGCATATGACGCACATAAATGCAAGGGACAATTGTGTAGAGAAAAGAAAAGTATTTGATACAGTTGTACATAAGAGTTTTCATATTATATATAAATATATATATATATCTTTTACAGAGGCTATTTTAATCTTTAGTGCATGGATAACTGAGTGAAACTTTACAAAGTTTTGGCAATATTGTTTTCAGTATCAGGTTGCTGTTAAATTTTTCAAGAGAGAGAATTCTGGTGCCTTAATGCATAAGCAGACCTTTAAAAACCCAGGCTGTTTCAAAGGAATTGTCATGCTTTGCTATGGAAATTCCTTTAGATCAAGCATTGATTGGGTTAGTTAGCACAAATCCCCCCACCCCAAAATTGATTGCACTTAGCAGGTTTAAACTGAGATCTTAAATTATTTCAAAGAAACGCTAAATAGAGTTTATAGGGAGAGCCAAGCAGTTACCAAAAAAGAAAAAGTAATACATAGCAACGTGACTTTTTCCTTTATGGAAGAACTTAAAATTCATTACCCTTCAGAATTGCAGTGAAGAGCTAAAGGTTAAATATGATCTGTGATAGTCTGCAAATTACAGCAGAACAGCACAGAGGAATAAAGTTGAATTAAACTACTGTGCACACTTGCAAAAAGGAAAGCTAAAATCATTGCTAACAACAAAAATATATGCAGTAGGGGATGGGTTTTTTCTTTTTGCACCTGTCACAAACTTAAAGGAAATGGCCTTGTCTACACCCACAAGTTGTACCATTGTAACTATAGCAGTATACTTAAAGTGGTACAACCCTTCCCCGTGCGAATGCAGTTATACTGCTCTAAAGGTAATGATGTGAACATAGCTTATTCCTGTATGTACAGGGGAATAAGTCACACGAGTATCAGACATCTTTATAGAAATATAACTGCATCCATACTGGGCTTGTAGCTGTATTATGGTCCCAATAATAAAAATCACACCCCTAATTTACCATTATACTGGCTGTGTGCAGACTATGCCTGAGATACATGACCTATGGCACTGTATTAAGCTGTCTCTTTGCTGCACATACATCCCCTGATCTGCAGCACAGCACATCAGTGTACATGCAGACAATAATTGCTATCTCCTTGTATGTGAACATTGACTTCAGGCCCACGATTACCCCTTTGTGCCACAGTTCCAAGCTAGTCGGAAATAGACTGGTTTAGAAGCAAGAGTATATGTCAGTAGGTGGTCTTGCTGGTTTAAAGGGATGAGTACTACGTGTTAGTACAGGGTCTTTAAGTTCATCCATGAATTTAAAAAAACCCTGGTCAAATGGCTCTGTCATTTATAACTTCAGGCTGAAGCTTTTTATTTTTAGAACGGCTGCTTCTGTTGGTACCTGTGGATGGATGGGTTGGTTTGTTTTCAGTTCTGCTAATACAAGTTTACTAGACTTTGGTGATGACTACTCTGGGGAAAGGTTGGTTGGTTTTTGTTTGTTTTTTTTTCTTTTTCTTAGAAGCAACTAAAGGCCAGTTTCATCAGAGCAGGGTCTGGTGGAAATCCTGCTCACGTCACTACGGTAACTCACAGCAGGTTTCAGAAGTCAGGGCAGTGAGACCTTTTCAAGGCCTTGATTCAGAAAAGCAGCTATGTTCAGAACAATACTAAAGACCTATTACTTTTTTAAATGAGGGCCAAAGAGACCCACCCATATTATCCCAAGCTATTCCCAACTTCCATCTTCATTAAAAGACTGCCACCCTTAATAATCTGATTTCTCAGTCCTTTGAGTGGTGGCCTAAACCACATTTCACTGTCAATTATCACTGACCCTGCTTTTATGAATAAGGCATAATTTAACCAGCTACCTGTCTAGACCAGTTTCTAACTGTAGACACATTTGCACTTTGTGGCAGGTGATTAATTATGTTGAGTGCCAACTTTTAACTATTCAGCAAATCAAAAGCGAAAGAGATGGACGATAGTAAATAAATAACCCAACATGTATTTGTCCCATGAACTGAAAAAAATATGCTTTAGAACTAACTCTGAAAGTGAAAACAACAGTGTGACGTGAGTGGGACATACACAAGGAAGGTGCGAATGACTTCATTGACCAATTTTGCTGGCAGAAATGTCATCACCGTTGCAAATATTAAGCACATTTGCCACATTAGCATTTGAAAATAATGTATTTTTAATAACGTTAACTGTTTCATGTTGTTACTTCCACTAAATATGTGAATCTGCTGCTTCTGAGAGGCAATGTGAAAGAGGAAGTATTACTTTTGTGTACAAAGTTATTTATTAGAAAATTTGGTACAATATTGTATGTTGAAAAAAACGTAAAATATTGAAGTGTCTAACAAATGGCATTGAAGTGTCTTTAATAAAGGTTCATTTATAATATGACAGGTTTTTTGTTGGGAGTGAGCTTTGCAGAGTTTCAGCTGAAAAAAATAAAACCCAAGCAGTTGCTTACACGCTTCTCTGTTTCTAATGAAAATGTGTTAACGATATCCGGACATAACCTTTTTGAAACATCCATTTGTCAAACTGCATTCAATAGACAAAGAATTCTGTACGATAGACCAACACTGGGTACTAGAAACATGACCCTGGGGTGGGAGAGTTGGGAATTGTAGCTGAGATACACAGTGAAGAATTCGTATGAAGTAAATTTCTAATATAAAAAATATCAATTGTCTAAACGTCTCACAAACACCTCTCCACTGCTTGCCAAAGCCAGATGGGCTACATACAGGACAGCTTCAACTACATTTTTGAACCCTTCAACCTTTCTTAGTCCCACTCGTAACACCATCACTACCTATAATAGAGGCTTCAGTTTCAGCTTCAGAGTTAAGGATGAGCTTAATTTTGCATTTAAAGCAAGTATTCAATCTTCATTGTGTGTGCGTGTTGTGTTTTTTTTTCTTTTTTTTAAGTGTAGTCTCTCCAAAAATACAGCTCTTTGAGAAGAGAGAGTTCTCTGAAAATATACAATAAAAATGTGGTCTTTAAGGAATGTAGTGTCTAGTGTCAGACAACTTTTTTTGGGGCCCTCAATTATGGAATAACACAAACTTTTCAAACTTTACATATAGTTAAATCTCAATTGTATCTGGTGCATAGGCTGTCATTGAAGACCTTTTTTGTTTTTTAAGGATTAATGGTCTCTTTCCCCATTATTCATCACTGAAAGTTTCTCCTTCAGCAGGGCATGCTGAATAGTATTCTACTAGAGAGAATTCTACCACGGGCTGCCATCTCCAACTGTGCTCAAGCCACAGATGTCCTCAGTTGGTACCTTGGGGACTGACTTTGATTCCAATGGCTCGCTGAACAGAGCCAGCCAGTTGCTGAAAGAAGTGTTGGGCCATTAGGTGCGATGCTGTCCTAGAAAGTTTGTTACGTGGTAAACAGAGTATAGGTCCTTATGTCAGCAACCACTATCATGCTCCACAGTCATTGCTTTTTACCTGCAGAGTAAGTAGCCTCCATACCAGCCCCCCTCCATTCTTCCACTCAGTGCAGGGTTGCATCATCTGGGGAGGCTGGCATGTCCCTGAGATCGGTCCTCAGAAACCAGGGGCCGTAGCAGCATGATCAGTGGTAGGTAAAGGAAAAGAGCTGTACCTGTCTTCGGGCATATAGCAGCACCAATGGGTTTTCATGGGCCTTCATCGTAGACTGTGGTCCACAGCAAGAACCCCGGCGAAAAGGAAGCGAGATCAACCGACCACTGGAGAGGTTCCTCCACTGTGAAAGCACTTCCAGTTTCCACTGGGTGCAGTGCGAGAGACAGGCACCCAGCAGGAGGGACAATATATGAAGAAATGGTGGTGCAGATTTTTAAAGATGTTCAAACTCATTCGTGCACTGATTGTTACTATGGTTAGTACATGGCAGCGCTACAGAGCAGCGTTAAGCATCTTTGCGTAGCCATACTTTAACCTGCTTGGATATCTTGTATACTTAAGCTTAACTCTGAATTGCCTGGGTTTTGAATGCTTGGTTGTGGGATATGCACCACAGCCTTGTCATGTATTTCACTCTAAATTACTGCTATACTCACTCTGTATATTTTACCATTGTCTTGGGCTGGGACTATGAAAGAGGCACATGTGACCATTGTCATTACAGAAGTCTAGAGGTCCATCCTTCACTTTGTTGGTAGTAAAACATGTAGAATAAGAAAAGGCGGATTCCAGAACTGATGTTTCAAAAGCACAAAACATGGACCCAAGAGAAATTTGAGTCCTGTGCTGAGAATAATAAATCCTCCGGTGTCAGCCTACTTGTTGAAAAGCAAACCAAGCCCATGCCCATAAAGAGCTTTGAGCCAGTAGCTAGCTTTTCCGAATGAATTCCTCTCATGCCCCTGCCCCTTCCCCCATCCAGAAAAAAGGGATCAACTGTACAATGGAGAAAAGTACCTTGTGTAACATCATTAATGAGATTGCCCTGACGAAACCGGCAGTATTGTTACAGCATCATGGCAGGGAGCGGAATCAGCCAGCCAGTTTGGGACTAAAATTGCCCTAGGGATGAGCGTGGGCAATGACGGGTAGACATTCCAATTTTTAAGAATTAGTCCCTTTTGCTCTGCAAGTTTTCCCACTGTTTTCTGAGCAAGGGCTAAACTTCCGGACCCTGCATAAAGACAGCCAGTTTCTCCATGTATTTGCTTAACAGTGACAGGGTTTTCTTCAGGGGAAAAAAACTACGCTGTAGTACAGACCAAGCTGCTGGCGTTACTGCAGAGCTTAATTTGGCTCTGTGTTAGCGCTATCAATTATATTTGCATCTATTTTGATTAGGATGCCTGCCTCACTGCTTCTACAAAACCTTATTGTGGAAGTGCCTTCAATGCAACTGAAAGGTAGTTTCAGGTTCTTAATATAGCTCTTTAAAGGTGTAACTAAGTTGCTGCTGTAAATTTGACAAGATTTTTTTATTTTTCAAAATCTTGGACTTTCTAGTGATAATTTTAATTGAGCTGAAATAATGGCTTTTTGCCAAGCAGCTAATGTTTGCTTTTTGGCCCTGCACCTATTCCACGAACTGATTTTAACTGTAGCGTCTTTATGCTAAAGGAAGAATTTAAGTAGAGTCCGAGAACAGGCTAGCCTCACCCTTCAGAACTATTATACTCAATCTGCCATTTCATCGAGGAGAAGAACCTGTGTTTTCTATTTGTCACTTCCATTCTGCAGCCAGATCTCTCCTGTTCTGTGCTTCACTGCTACAAATCCAGATCTACTTCACCTTTTGGTAGGGAAAAAAAAAAAAAAAAAAGGCAAGAACTGCATTTCTTTTCATAGGCAACATTGTTGGACGGGCTACCTGTAAAATAATACAGCATTGTACTTTTACTGGCGAAATCTGAGTCTAATTAAAACCCCCACACTGGTTACCAAGTAAGAGTGCTTGCTATGCACCTGCAGGTATAAACGGTGGGATAAACTTTCAAAATATGGCTCAAATCAGAAACAAATGGGCATTATTTTTCCCCAGCAGCCTCCCAACTAAGAATACTTTCTACAGTCTTTAAATGCCTGCTGATTGCAGCTATGTCAACTCTTCCACTGCACTAAAAGCAGCCCCAATGCTGAGGATCCAGTGTCTCTAGATAATGAACATTCATTTTATTCTATTTTTGCTGCTCAAACCATGTTCTTTTGGTTTACAAAACGTTTTCCTTGCATGAGTTCGGATAATGCTGTTTGCAGATGCTGTAATTAGCTGTTTGCCCCCACACGTTACTTTTTTGGCACAAGTCTCTCTATGACTTCACTGCTTTCCATGCTGGGAAATTTTAAGTTAGGGAAATTGGATTATTGAAGGACTTTTTTTTTATAGTGAAAATACGAGTTGAGGCTGTTGACCAGTTCCTCGGCTCCATAAAGAAGCCTGAGAAGGAGCGTGAGTACTTTGATGAGTGTATTCTTTCCGGAGAGCAGCAGATCTTTGGCTCTTTGCTACTATTCACAGGAATCTCTGTTCCAAGTCAGAGCAGGAAGCTGCGAGCTTTGTCATATGTCCCAAGAAAGATGAACCCTCCCAGACTGATTGCTGTCATTCGAGGGACAACACCTGCAAACAATCTGAAAGAGAAAGGAAAAAATGCTTCACCTGTGGTCATGGACTAGCAATGAGAGATGTTACCCTTTTATCACTCCACACACAACCTTTTAGCAGCGCTGTATACACCAACTTTATCTTGATGATTTCTTGAGTGTGTTCGTGCAGAATTACCTCCTCTCTAAGGTACGTATATAGCCTCTATTACTGTCGTATCTGAGCACCTCCCAGTCTTTAATCTATTTATCATCAACAACCCTGGGAGGTGGGATCCCCATTTTACAAATGGAGAAACCAACAAAGTGAGGCTAGAGATTCGTCTGCACTGGAAGGGGTTGGGAAATGCAGAATGCAAAGAGATGCACTCGAACTGCCCCGCGTGGACAGCGCTGGCGCAAGCTCAAAGGTACAAGGTACATCGTTCACATTAACACAGTCCTGTTTGAAAGAGGACGTGTTCATGCGAACTAGGTACCTTTGAGTTCACGCCAGCTGCGTCCACACGGGGCAGTCACAGCACAACCTTTTGTGCTCTGCAATTCACATCCCCGTCGTCTATTCTGTGCCCCCCATAGCCTAGGACCTCAAACATATTTAGGTGCTTAACTTCCATTGAGAAGCTGGGCCTAAGAGACTTGCCGAAGTTCACACAGGGCAGGTGACTGCACCCAGGTCACCTGATTTCCAGGCTAGCACCCTAACCGCTGGACCATCCTCACCCTCTACTTCCTTCAACCCCACAAATAATCAGTTACCACCCTGTAATTCAGTGTTTTATAAAAAGAGGCGAGAACAATCAAATACCAGATCCAGTGTCTGTGCTGCTCTCAATGAAAGCAGAAACGGAGCTAACAACAGTACTAGTGGTGGACTGGCATAGACAACGATTGGGAGAACTAGTAATAAACTCGCTACAGTCACTGCAAAGTAACAAAACCATGAATGGTTAAAAACTACCAACTCTGTCTAGTAGAAGCCACAGTACCCTCCAGTTGGGAAGGGGGTCCCTTAACCTCAGCAAGCAAATCACCTTGATACACGGCTGAGCAAATGACACTCCTCCAGCATTTAATTTCAAAAACTGTACCACGGTACAGCAGCAGCAGGAAGACCAATCACGACACGACCTGATATCATTCAACGTAGCCAAGGTAGTTCTGCCTGCTCCTACAGCCCGTCTGTAACGGGAGCAGCCCTTGGAAGTTCAGTATCAAGGACTAGGTGGGCCATAAATTACTTCATCCATTATTGGGTTTATGAACCTCAGGACTGATCACTGTACACATGTGCCCTGCTGCACTGAATGTAAGATTTTAAATGTTGGGCAGTTTAAGGCCTATGTCCCTTTAACCCACTCTTCAGCATTTAAGCACACGGAATGGGTGATCTTGCCCAACACACAGTGCGTGATGTAAAAGTGACATGCACCGAGGTGGATTAAAGATAGAGATTCTGCTGTCCCTGGCTTCTGTGGACTGGACTGCCCGGTAACGTTAATCTAACGGAGTCAGAGTTTCAACTGTGTAGCTTTTACACCAGTATTGTGAGTAATTCCTGTGTAATACTGTTAGTCCTGGGGCATGTGAGATCATCTGGAAGCAGTGCATATTCCCAGAGCAATTCAGGGACCCTAATCCTCACTGCTAGTCAGACACTGTGCTTGGTAAGCCTCCAACTGCACTTGCTTTGGTTTTTGTGATAATGATCTGTGCTCTGGGGCCTGGAGCATACAGGCAGATGGAAACGTTTTATGGCTGCACTAGACAGCCATTGGGGCTATTACCATAATTATAGCTTTGAAACAGAGTAATTTGTACAAGGCATACACTGACAGAGCACTCAAAGGGTAAATCCTACGGTACAGCATTGTTCTCCAGCTACACATCATCCTTCTCCTGTGGAATCACACCAGCCTATTACTGAAGCGCGGCAGACATTCGTTTACAGTACAGTCCATCACAGCCACAGCTCTTAAATAAGCCAGGCTGGATAACTTTGAGTATGTTAACTAGAAGCTGCATCTCTGACCTCATCTCTTATTGCATCCCCCTCGGCTCCACCAATGGCCTCAGCTGGCCTCAGCATCCTATTGATTTCCTTCTGCTCTCACATATTTGCCTTTAACCACGTGGCAATCCCAGGCCTGGCTTACCAAGCTACCAGCTTTTCCTCCGTTGCATAGAGAACAGCTGGTCATCTGGCTAAGGCACCGCACGGACTCTGGAGATCTGGGTTCTCGTCCCAGACTGGCCCGTCAGTTCCTCAGCTAACTTGTCTCTGCCCCACTTCCCCTTCTGCAAACGGGGTAATCACGCTCACTTTCGTTCCTGCTTTGTCTGTTTAGACTGCAGACTCTTCCGGGCAGGGACTGTCTCACTAAGGGTTTGTACAGCAGGGCCCTGATCTGGGTTGGCGTCTCTAGCCACTACTGTAACACAACGACAACAAAAGATTGGTTAGTGGGCCTAGATCAAAGCTGAGCATTTTAACTACAAAGAGGTCCAGGTGCAAGTGGCTCCAATGCACTTTCCCAGTCTGCGTGTTGAACTGGTTAGGAGAAAACACACACGGTAGGCTCCTGATTTTCCAAAACCCCATTATCCAAAGCTCTGCACTAGCCGAGTCCCCAGCCTGGGAGACGAGAGGGTTTGGGCTATGCAGAGGTTTGGATAGTGGAGCAGAGACCCGGGGCAGCCACGGGAGTGACACCCAACTCCTGCTGGCACAAGGTGCAGGGGAGGCTGCAGCCACAGCAGAGTCCTGGACGGGGGGGGGGGCGGCATGTCTCTCTGCTCTACCAGGACCACAGCCGCCCACCTGCACCTTGCACCTACGATAACCAGGGCAGGGTCAAAGGCGCGAGGGAATGGAGCCGTGACACCGGAGCTGCAGAGGGTTCCTGCACTGCTGCGCCTGCCCTCTCGACTATCCGAACTCCCGCGTAGCCGAATACAATCTGCGTCCCTAGGGCTTGTCGGCTCACCGGGAGCACCCCGTCTGATTTCCAAAGCGAATCCTCGCCAGCTGTATAATGCAGGGACGGCCAACCTGAGCCTGAGAAGGAGCCAGAATTTACTAATGTACATTGCCAAAGAGCCACAGTAACACGTCAGCAGCCCCCATCAGCGCTCCCCACTTCTCCCCCGCTCCCAGCACCTCCCACCCACTGGCAGCCTCACCGACCAGCACCTCCCGATCTGCTGTTTTGTGGCATGCAGGAGGCTCAGGGGAGGGGTGGAGTGGGGGCAGGCCTGTGGCAGAGTCAGGGGTTGAGCAGTGAGCACCCCCCGGCAGCCCAGGAGTCGGTGCCTAGACAAGGAGTCACATATTAACTTCTGAAGACCTGCATGTGGCCACCCCTGGAATAATGCCTATGTGCTATGGGTGTGTGCTCTGATCCCATGCAGCCTGCCACCCCCAACTTATAGTGCCTAATCCTTCTATTATTCATATTCCCATTATTTTCCATTTTGAATGCAACTCTTCACCCGTGTTTTTCCAAGCCCTGGAATATTTATTCCCAAATGCTTGGATCCTAAAGTCCATCAGAACCTTGAGGCACTATTATGACAGGGATCCTTCTTGCAATATGAAACAAATCCCCAGTTCAATAGAAAATATCAGAGGCCACTGCTTAAAGTAACCCACTGGAGAGGCCCCTTTACTCAGCACTACAGGTTAGATCGTTTTGCATTTCCTAAAGCAGAGAATCCTTAAAGGCTGATGTCTAGTCTCTATTCACACTTGAGATCTCGGTATGGAAGAGTCGCGCGGTTAGGGCCCAACGCTGGAATGGGTGCAATAGTGTGTGTGCACCTGCACCTATTGGGAAACCTCGCTTAGCAGTCAAATAGGGAGCTAGGACCCCTGGCTTGTGGGCCCTACTGTGCCACCATCTAGGAGGGCAAGCTCAGGCAACTCCTTCCACTTCACTCTTCCTATGGGGAAAACAACACTTGCCAATCTCCCAGCTTGGTTGTAAGGCGTCATCGATGGCTGTAAAGTGTGACAAGCTCCTTGGAGAAAAGGTGCTGGAAAAGTGCAAGGCGTCCGTGCACAAGTCTGCCCTAGTGCGTGCAGCTCAGAAATTGCTCACCTAAACTCCCATTTGCAAGTGCAAATAACTGTGGCTACGTGCACATTGCTCCTTTAATCTCACCCATATTCTATCCATTGAGAAATATCTATTAATGGAGGCCTCTCTCTCCCTCTCTCTTATGGACAGAAAAGGATGTGAATTTGTTGGCATGAAGCACATGGATTTACTAGGTGCAAAACAGGAAGTGAGTCCTGCACTCTGGTTTTAATAATGTGGCAAGAGGCAATGCATCTCTCTGCCCCAGAATTCCTTCTCTTCAAATCTGAGATTTAGCAGAGAAGCCATAGATTATTTTACATTGCTGCCAGCCAAAAAGCCCGACACTTTTATTGGTTTTGATTAATACATTTATAATTGGCAGCAGGCACAGCCGTCTCTGCATTTATTTTTCCCAAGGCTTTCTTCCTGCTCCTCGCAGCTGACACAGTTTGGCCATTTTTGCATGTTTCTGTTCTCAGGATTGCTTATTATTTTGCTTTCTCTTGGGCGTGCAGCGTTGAGGAGAGCTGGGTTACCCTTTGGGTCTATTGCATCAGTGGCACAATCTGAAGACAGAGTTTGAATTCTGGTTGACTAAATGGGCACTGAAACAGGCTTGAAAGAACACAAATTATGTGCAACAGACAGGGGGGATTTAGACGTCGAATAGGAGTGGGGTGCTTAACTGCTATTTGTCCTTTTGAAAATAGATCCCATGGTCTTCTAAGCATATACAATGCTGTACAGTGCATGAAACCGGCCCACAGACAAGGGACCTACAAGTACTAGCTCAATGCGTCCTGAGACAATACAAAACGAACAGTCTGGGGTGGGCATAACAGCTGGAATGCTTCCTGGAATAAAGGTCCAAGAACTTCCTGACATTTGTTTTGAATTATTTTCCAAATGTGTCAAAAGAATATTGAACTTTTACTAGTTGTGTGACCAGAGATCAGGTGTTAAGGAAAATGATCTGTAACTAGACTGGAGAGTACACATCCAGGGTCGCGCAGACACAGCACTGGCTATCGAGTTGGTTTCTAAACCCTAAAGCAGCGAAGAGTAGCACTGGCAAACAGGCTGATCTAGAAGGGTATGAGAAATGAAGCTAGAGATTTGCATAATGAGTCTGATTGTGGAAGGGGGAAAAACAGCAACACCTGTTGCACCCATCCAGACCTGCATTTGTTCCCAATGTCTAGTTAATGCTCCATGTGGATTTTGCGCATGTCACTCCAGTAACTACAGACTTAATTAGCTCATAGCGTATGTATGACGCCAATCCCAGAGGCACAATAACACAACTACCAGCTGAACCGCATACACCCACTGGGTGCAGGTGGAATCTAGGATTTACGGTTCAAAACCACAGGCCTCTTGCATGTGGACTGAGGCAATCTACGTTAGCTATCATTATTTTAGGACTTGTATTCTGTGTAGGCTGCAGCTAGCCACTACTGAACGACTCACTGATTCTCCCACACAAAGAGCACAGCCCACTAGGAACTGACCAGGTATCCATGCAAATCAATACTAATTTACACGCCTGTGGCATCTTTTGTCCAAGGCTCTCAAAACGCTCTACAAACACGAATGAATGAGTCCTCACAACTCCACCATACAGCCAGGAAGCATTGTTCCCATTCTTACAGATGGGTAAACTGAGGCCCAAGGAGGCTAGGTGACTCACCCAGCATCACACAACAAGTGCCTTCCAAAGCTGAGCGGAAACCCAAGGCCTTCTGACTTGGGCCTTATATACTAGACTATGATGTGTTCTTATGAGCTAAACATGTCCTGCTGCCACATTGCTGCAACTTATATCCTTGCCTATTAGGTGGCTAATTATTTCAGGAGACAGAGCTGTGCAGAAGGCTGCACAGTCCTGAGCTGATCAGACTGATGCTTTGAGCTCTGTCGCTATTCAGATTTTTTAAAAAAATATGCATTTTTACTAGGGAAATTATTTAGCTGGGGATTGGTCCTGCTTTGAGCAGGGGGTCGGACTAGATGACCTCCTGAGGTCCCTTCCAACCCTCATATTCTATGATTCTATGAAATCCAAGTGGGTGTTTTGTTGTTCTTCAATGCATAACATTTAATGATGCATGTTAGAGTCAGGAAACGCTGCTCCCACACACATAATTACATACACACACACACACTACATATGTACATATGTAATTAATGTGTTATCCAATGGAAATGCTCTGCCATGGATGTCCTATGTAACCTCAGGCAAGCCCCATACCCTCTCTCTGATAACCTGTTTCCCCATCGATACTATTTGCCTAAGTGACAGGGTGCTACTCATGTCTGGCACGCCTGAGCAATTCCCCACTGAGAGAGGCAAGAGGACTGAAGGGTTAGCCCACGAGGGATGTCTTCGTTCTGTGAAACTCCATGCATAGAAACCTGAGCGAGGCAGGAAAAAGGAAGAACAAGCTGTGGGGTGCACATTTCAAAGCGGCTTCCCTCAGTTTTCCTGCCCTCTGTATTTCAGCACGTTGAAGCCATTTTTCTGGGGCTCTGGGCCTGTTTCCTGCTGGGCAATGCTGTGGGGATGGACTGGGAGTTGCTGATTTATAGCCTTACATGGCGCCACGCGGTGACTGAAATGCAGAATTGCAGCACCCCATGGAGAGGAAGGGAAACACCTGCAAATCCCAGCTTCAGTTTCTTGGCGTTTAGCTTCCTCTGCTTTCTTGTCTGGGATGCTAGGGACGGAGGCTGTTGGTGTCCCCTCCTCCCGCTATGCTTCCTGCTGGGGAAAGAGGGCAAGAAGGGGCAGAGGTGACGTTACACAAAGAAAGTTCCTGGGTAACTGTGGAAAGCTGGAGGAGGAGGAGTGGCTGGCGCTGTAGGGAGGTGCCTGCACCAGGCTGGCCTGGCTCTTAGGAAGGGGTAATGATTATTATTGGTTAATATTTGTAATGCAGTAGCTCCTAGAGGCTCCGTTGTGTCAGGTGCTGTACACACACATACCTGAATGACTGCTACTTGGCCTTGTGAACGCCGAGTCAATTCATAGTTTTTTACAGTGCATTAAACACACACACACACACACCCGTGTCTCATAGATATTCTCTCACAAGATAGTCCTTACCCAGGTAGCCCTTGTGACCTCCAGACACTGTGCAGGGCAGAGAGTACATTCCCACTGGCATTGCTGGAACCAGCCTGTATTACAAGAACAGAGAGACCATAATTAAATCACCAGTTGGATCCAGTTATTTATCAAGCTACCTATCCATTTACACTACGAAACAGAGCAATGGAACTGTCTAGTGGCCGTAGTTCTGAACAAAACCCAGCTCTTATGACTTCGTCACATGCTCTAACCAACACGCCATGCGCCCTCCTTGATACATGTCTGCTGAATGAGGCTGTACTACGTACAAACACACACAAAGATGCAGCGCACACTCTTTACATAACGTGATGTGTGTCTAGAACACAGCACCAGTCATCAGATGAGGTTCAAATGGCCAGTGAGAAACAGCTGATTACTCTACTCAGGGACATGGCTGGTGGAGAGAATTGACCCTTATGGGGTGACTCAGATTCCATCAGCACAGCTCCTTAAAGAATAACAACGTATCCCAACAGCGTGTACCAGCTGCTTGCATTTTAACCGTCCCACAATCTAGACCTGCTCGGGACTAGGATGGACGACTCGTTCATTAAAACAACAGCGGCACACCTACATTAGCACTCCTGCTTTTGCCATCCCTGGCAGAGTTACAGCAATGGGTTGAAATTCTAGGAAAGAAAGTCTGGCGTCAAGCCTGCCTATGGAGAGCAATGCCAACAATCTCCTGTTGTTAGAAAAACTCGCAGAGGAATCAGTTCCTGCCTGGATTTTTAATTTAGGGAGTTTGACCTTATAAAGAATTTGTCATTAAGACTTTTGCATTAACCACTGGCAGTCTAGATTTCAGCGTATCCCCAGGACAACCTAGCACAAAGCAGTGACGTCTTAGATGGCTCCTTTGGGAGACCTGAGGAGGGAGGTGAAAGAACAAGAATAGTAATTACAGGGCAAAGTAAAGCAACACCAGTTTTATCCATGCATGTAACACACATTCACATCAGTTCCTGGCTTAAACTACAAGAACAGAAGTCATTAGTGATAGGTGTGGTGCTACATTTCATTTCGTTGCTACCATGCAAAAGTTTTGGCACTGCGGCCCATGCACCTGTCCATTTGCTCAGCGTTCTTCCATCTCTTACCTTTGCCAACATAATTCTTGTCTTTGCTACGTCTAGAGGTGTGGTGACTGCAGCTGCAAATCCACCTGAGCATATTAAAATACCAAACACAAGTGAGGCATTGTTTGCTGGACATGTATGCCACCCCGTCGATAATTCCCACAGCCTGGGTCAAAAACATTTCATTATGCATTACAGCATGGTCCTCAGTTCAAAATTTGGGGATGTTTACAGTGTCTGTAGATAGAGTTTATTATTTTGCATCTACAGAAAAATCATTATTTAGTATTCATTATTATTTTTATTATTATTGTTATTTTTACTCTATTATGGTAGCACCCAGGAACCCTAACTGACACTGGAGTTCCATTGTGCAAGGCGCTGTACATATATATATAGTAAGAGACAGTCCCTGACCCAAAGAGCTGATAAGATAAGATAAGAAAACAGTTTCCATTTTAAACACCTACATATTGTAAAGCAAATGAAATTGCTCAGGCCACGTCTACACTACCCGCCGGATCGGCGGGTAGTAATCGATCTATCGGGGATCGATTTATTGCGTCTCATCTAGAAGCGATAAATTGATCCCCGAATCGACGCCCGTACTCCACCTCGGCAGGAGGAGTAAGCGGAGTTGACGGGGGAGCCGCGGCAGTCGACTTGCTGCCATGAGGACGGCCAGGTAAGTCGAACTAAGATGCTTCGCGTAGCTGAAGGTGCGGAATCTAAAAACAACCCCCCCCCCCCCCCCAGTGTAGACCAGCCCTCACTCAGAAAGGAAATAAGCACAGAATATTTTGCTCTGTCTTTTGAGAGTGAAATTCTGACCAGACAGATAAACTATACTAGATAGGTAGATATATTATCATTGATTTGTTTTACAATGGCACCTAAGAGCACCAGCCATGGGTAAGGACTTGTGTGGGGTGCTGTGCAGATATAGCTAAAGTAGTATGGATGAAAAGGTGCTAAACCCCATAAATAGGCAATAGGCAAATAAATATGGCGATTAATGATGTCCACAAGACACTCGATCTGGAACTCCATATCCAGGGAGTTTGGATCTGGAATTTCCCTGTTAAAGGAAGCAGGGGTCTTGGAGCAGTTGGATGGGCCCTACTGATAATACAGTAGAACCTCGGAGTTATGAGTTACAAACTGACCAGTCAACCACACACCTCATTTGGAATCAGAAGTATGCAATCAGGCAGCAGCAGAGACCCCCAAAAAATGAAAATAAAAAGCAAATACAGTACAGTACAGTGTTAAATGTAAACTACTAAAAAAATAAAGGAAGAGCAGCATTTTTCTTCTGCGTGGTAAAGTTTCAAAGCTGTATTAAGTCCACGTTCAGTTGTAACCTTTCGAAACAACCACCAGAACGTCTTGTTCAGAGTTATGAACATTTCAGAGGTACAAACAACCCTCATTCCCAAAGTGTTCATAACTCTAAGGTTCTCCTGTAATCTCTCTTACAATACAGGCAAAAGCTACTTCAGAAAGAAACAAAATGGAGTAGTCATGACACCTGACAGCCCAATCTGTTTGTGGCTAGGGGGACTCTGCAAAGTGATCAATCATCCAGGCTCTCGAAACTCCCCTCCCTTCCAGGTTAAATATTTTTCCACTACAAAGCGTTTTCTTCTTCTGGCTCCCCTGCCTCCCCCCTCCAGCACCATCGTGACAAGCACCCTCTTCTTTCAATGAGTTTCCATCCTCCCTATCCTCACCACTCTCAGAGCACATTACTTTCACTCAGAAGGGCTGGCCCAGCTGTGACTTCCTTGGTAATAATCAGTCATCAAGGATTGTGCAGGGACAATGCAACTGGCTTGCTATGCCCTCCCAAGAGACAACAAGCCTCTAGCAAACTAAGATCCCAGTTCTGATCTTGCTTACACTGGTGTAAATCAGCAGTAATTCCACTGAAGTCAAGGGAGCGGCATCATGCTAAAGCTACGCAATTGTAGAATTGGATCCCAAAGAACAGACAGGGCCTAACAGGCCCCCCGCACACACACACTTTTAATTCAGTGACTACAGCCTCTGCCTCTTTCACTATCCAGGGGCTATTCTATTCTGTTCTCTATAGGTTCTTATACCACCCTCATTAGCGTATGAGCCTCTTCCAATCCCTCTAAGCAACCCCTTCAACCATTCTCTTTATTCCCCCCTCTAAATTTAACTCTGATCTCTCACTCTTTCACTCCCAGCCACAATATTTTAACTCAAAAGGAGTAGCTCAAACACAGCTAGAGATGCACCAAAATAAATATTTACCTTTCGTTAACAGCGCAATATTAAGAAAAGAAAAGAAAAATCTTATTCTCTGGGGTTTGTATAAACCCAGTGTATGGAATATAGAGAAATTGATCTCAGAGTGGTAGCCATGTTAGTCTGTATCGGCAAAAACAAGAGGAGTCCCTGTGGCACCTTATTGATCCTATTTCTCCAGGGGGAGGATGGGACCTCTTTAAATCTGTAAACTATTGCAAATCAGATTTATCCACTGGCCGGAGTTTTAACTCTGCTCTCTCTCTCTTCTGAGTTTTCCAATATCAACATAATTCTTCATGTAAAAAGAAGGCCAACTGGCTCTTTGAGTAGCTTTCTATGTCAACTGCATGGGAGAAACTTCTTATGATTCATAAAGGAACATTCAGTGACAATTAGGTATTCGTTGTCTGGTATGTCTACGGGCGAGCCAGTGGTTCTCAAACCGATCAGGGAACTTCAAGCAATAAGTGGACCAAGGTGCCCAGCTTCTCCTCACAGTAGGTTGGTTGATCAGTTTTGCTTTGGAGGGGGCTATGCCCCTGTAAGAAGCAGAAAAAGGGTTTACATTCAGGAAGCCAATCTGAAGACCTTAAGCAAATTAGACTATGTGCCAGCCCATTCTTGCTCCATATTAACTTAAGGTCATACTTCTTTTCCATTCTAAGCCAGTTCTGGACTAAATGACCAACTGGCCTTGAGAGAACAATTTGGTTAGAACCTTTCGTGCTAAAGTCAATGCTGTATTTTTAAAGTAGCTAAAATAATACTCATAAACACTTCCAAATTAACTGGAAAGTGAAGTCTTTCCTTTACCCACAGAACAGGATTAGTGTAAAACTCTGAAACAGGGATTTTAGTCCTGCTTGGCGTGCAAATCTCAGGGCCGACGATGGAGTATTACCAACGTCCCCATAATGTTCAATTATTTTTCTTAACTGAACTTGGCAGTTTCTTAAAGCATTCTTAGTCCTAGCAAAGTTTCTCATTAGCAGTGGTATAAATCTAGGCTGCTACAGTGCCTGGATTGTGTACAAGTTACTCTTGGATACAATGTCTCCAAATGTTCTTATCCAGTGGTTTAATCTAGGCTGAGTAGTTCTCCATTTTCCCAAATGTCTGTTTGGATCTTTTCAGCTCTTTTGCCATTAGCATGTCAATTTCCCCCTTTTCCCTCACCAGGAAGTATTTCTTACAGATTTAAGAATTGATTTAGAATGATGACAGCACCAATAATGTGCTTCATGAGCACAACATGCAGCAACGTAACAGCTAAATTAAATGCAAGTTTGCATATGCTTGACTAGAACTAAAATTTATAGCTGGCAGCGATGGGAGCCATGTTTTATACAAGGCAATGGGTCTGACAAAATCAATTTGCTCCAGCTTTATTCCAAAATGCCAAAGATAATTGTTAGGGTAACCTCATAAGGTTTATTACTTTCCAAGAACAATTTCATTCACAGGCTACAGCTAATAAGGCAATGGTCCTATTTGCATTACAACTATAACTGTGTCAGGGGCCCTGGTTTATAAATGGAAGGAAGTTGTAGTGTAGACAGGACTGACCATTTCAAAGAAGCGCATGAGAAACTGGACTGTCCAAAGTGCATGCATGTGTCGCGGGTTCTGTCAGGCACCGTGCAAAAACACATCCTGTGGATAGGATAGAGGGCAACTTGTTTTATGCTTCCCCTCCTCTCACCCTGCAACATACCTGGAGGCAAGGGGGGGGGCAAACTATGCCCCAAGACACCAGCAGGTAGAGTGCAGAGAAGATGCTTGGGCCTGCTGAGGGGTAAGGCAGCATTGGAGAGACAGGCCAGCATAAAGGACTCCGGAATCAGGAGAAAAAGTCCCCAAAGTTCACCAGAAAGTTTGCTGGCCCCTTCAACAAACCAGGATCCAACCAGGCACCCAGTTCATTTTTCACATAGCTGCAGGTGACACCACTGCAACCACCAAGTGCTTCTAAGGACATTATGGGTGAAATTCAATCCTAAATCCCAGTTCAGCCCTATCAGTTAAGCACACGCATCCTCTGGGCTTAGGTGCCGTATGGACCTTTCTGGTCTTAAGCCCCATGAATCTATGAAAGAACCATTATGTCACCTAGTCTGACCTCTTGTACATCACAGGTCGTTAACATTTCACCCAGTTACCTCTGTAGTGAGCCCAGTAACTTGTGCCTGGCTAAAGCGTGTCTTCTAGAAACACAGCCAGTCTGGATTTGAAGACATCAAGAGTTGGAGAATCTACTACTTTGGTCAAAGAGGCTAGATCTTGGGATTTTCTCCCTGTAAAAGAGACTTGTACACTGGAATTAAGTCACTTCTAAGGGTATGTCTACCCTGGAAACTTCAAAGCGCTGCCGCGGGAGCGAATGTGGTCACGCGCGAGCGCTGGGAGAGAGCTCTCTCAGCGCTCCTGGTAATCCATCTCCACGAGGGGAATAGCTCCGAGTGCTGGGAACACAGCTCCCGGGGCTCGGAGCCTGTCCACACTAGCGCTTTAAAGCGCTCAGACTTGCTGCGCTCGGGGGTGATTTTTCACCCCCTTGAGCCAGCAAGTTAGAACGCTATAAAATGTAAGTGTGGACATACCCTAAGATCTGGTCTTCGCTACCAACTTACGTCTGGAAAACCCACACCTCTGAGCAAGGCAGTTATACCAACCTAACTCCCGTAGACAGCACTATGTCTACTGTCCTGCTGCAGTATTTTAAGTATAGACAAGCCCTTAGTCTTCTTTTTGATAAGCTAAACAGATAGAGCTCTTTACATCTCTTGCTGTACAGCATTTTCTCCAG